TCGCCATGAATTGCTCCTCTAGCTCCTCCCATGTCGTAATCGAGTTTGGCTCAAGAGTGTAGAGCAAATCTCTTGTCCGGTCCATCAGTGAAAAAGGAAAGGCCTCCAAATATACATCTTCGATTGTCATGCCTCGTGCCTTTCTGACTGATCTGCACAGCATCTTGATTTGAGTCAAGTGAGCAATGGGATCTTCTGTGGGCCGCCCTCTGAAGCTCGCCTGACTGAACATCGTGATGCACTGTGGCGGTAGCTCAAAGCTGTCTATGGGCGGTCTGTTGATGCATGATAGGAGTTGGGTGTGCTTCGGTGCAATGTAAGAACCCAAAGTCTCCTCTGCAACGTAGGTAGCTTCGCCCTCGGTTTGCTGATCGTAGAGCGGATTCATGTGCTCTTGATTCTCTTGATGCTCCTCATCATGAACCGCATGGTCGTGCGAACTATTTGACCTCGACATAGCTTCTCTTCTCTGTTGATTTCGGATGTCTCTCAAGGTACGCTCAATCTCTGGATCGTAGACTAGGTCTTCTCTCCGAGTAGAGCTCTGTGTCATGCACTAGAACCCTGCAAACCGCAAAAAGGAAGAACTCGAAACCAAGTGAATCCGCAAAAACTAAAGAAAGAAAAACAAAAAAAAAAAGAAAAAGAAGACAAGCTAGGATCTAGAATCAATAAAGACCTAGAAATAGGCTAACCAGTCCCCGGCAACGGCGCCAAAAACTTGATACGTGTGTACCGAGTCTAAAATCTATAACCCGATTCACAACTCACTGCAAGGATACGGATCGTCGTAACACGGGGTCGAACACGAGGACCGGTTGCTAAATCCAAATCTAGATCGAAAATAGATCAAAGCAAGCAAGCAAGTGATGGTGGAAATATGTAGAATCAATGGAAAATAATATAAGAAAGTAAATAAAAACGAGTGACCTATCAAACAAGGATGACTACGGGTGTCGGGGTCGTATTCGCGTGTATGGGTATTTACTAAGCATGCGTGAATAACGATTATGACTTGTATTCGGGAATCATCAAGCAACAATGATAGAGAATTCACCTCTCGGTCTACTAACTCCCTACCTACAGAGTAACTCGTCAATCTCTCGATCTATTCAAGTTAACCCTAGGTGCATAAAGAACTCTATCATCAACCCTAGATCGATTAAGCCATATCTCTATGTGAATAATACGATCTATCCTATTGATTTTGATCCGAAACAAACCCATATCTCTATGTGGTTCAGAATCCAAGATAATTGATCAAGGGGTTAGCAAACATCAATCCAATAAAAGTGCAAATCAATAGAACCGAATCAAATCAAAACCGAAATCCAAGTTAGGGTTCAAACATACCCAAAACACATACGAATCCCTAACCCATAGTCATGGATCTACTCAAGGTTCATGGAAAATAATAGAAAGAACAGAGAAAAAGAGATAAAAGAAGGGATAGAAAAGCTCATGTTGATGTCTAGTCTTCACGATCGAATCCTCCTTCTTCTTCCCGCAATCCCGTGAACTTCTATTCTTCTCTCACCAAAAGCTCTCCAAAAGTGTGTATCTAGGTGTTCTCTGAGGTTCTCCCCTCTACTAGGACGTGGCTAGGGCTTTTTTATAACCCTAGGGTGGCTCCCAAGAGTTCTAATCCCATTCCAATGCTGAAAATCGCGAATTAGGGTTTCTGGTTGGATCCGGACCGATTCCAGGTGGATCCGGACCGGATCCAGATTCCTGGGGTCGAGTTGTGCGTTCCTGATCCGGACCGATTCCAGCCGGAATCGGCCCTGCACCGGCAGTTCTCTGGTCTTCACGAATTCGCTCATAACTCTCTGCTCCGGTGTCGGATTTACGCGATTTTGGTGTCTACGCGAAGCTCTTGAAGTGCTCTTTCCAATGGTATAGGTCTCGCACGATTTGGACCTCTGTAGAGAAAGTTATTGATGTCGCAACATGAGTACCTCATCCGGACTTCTCCTTTAACTCTCCAATTAGCTCCTTTTCGAGTCCAATCATCTCCGAAACCTGTAACTCTGCAAAACTAGAGCACAACCGGGTTTTGTATCCTAACACGCCTAGAATGCCTATGAATCCATGTGATTATCCTATAAAACCTAGACAAACTCTCATCAAAATATAGAGAAGAATAGGAGTTATCACCCCCCGACATCTCCACCGCCTGTGATCTCATCAGAGAAACTCCTCGACAATGCCATTGCTGCAGATGGTTTCGTTCAATGCCAGGAAGCATTTCCAACTCCAGATTCTGTCAAAACTCAGGTACCTGTTTATTACCGCAGTTCCAACTCCCACCAATTCCATCCCCGTAGATGGTTCCATCTTCATCTCATAAACCCCTTGATCATCTTCCCGTCAACCTCTGTAATAATCAACACCCTCCCCATTCCCTATCTTCGTCCCCAGCCCACTCTCAAAATACCTCATTACCCATTAATCACCCATAAATCATGACTCATCGCCTAACTCTCCCATATCATGTTTCCAAGCCAATGGAAAAGGGCAACAAACTAGAGTACAACCTACATATTTGATTCTGAGGATGAATTAGTGCAGGAAGCTCAGCATTTACTGCGCCTACGAGCAGCCGTTTCGCCCAAGATCCCGCAAGACTTCTCAGTAGTCAAGGGGTCGTAAGGAAGGGGCCGAGCTAAGATTCGTTGTTTTGGTGTTGTCCACCTTCGGTTCTTACTTCGGACAATTTTCTCTTTAATATTTGGTTTCATTATTTTGATCGCTTGTAATTTTTATTTGGCTGATGATGATTTCATCTTGGTGTAACTTAAATCTCTCTTATGTATTTGAGTAACATATATATATATACAAGTTTACCATTTACCAAAAAAAAAAAAGGAACTTTGAACCTTTGGAGTTAATTCAGAGGGTAATGGGGAAGATCTGTAGGAGGGGAAATATTTACTTTACAATCCGGATTTATTTTGAGAGTATATGCATATTTTTGCTCACGTTTCTACCACAACCAGTGGCATTTTTTTACCAGATTTGTTTTGACTGCCATACGTACATATAGAGATTCCTCCAAAATAACTACAAACGTTTTTAAAGATCGTAGTAAATAAAAAAAATAAATTGATAAATTTAAAAGATTTCTTTTATAAATCCGATCGTTCTTTGTCTTTAGAATATCGCAGTCAGCCATATCATGTAAATATTTAGATTTAGAATCTGCATATGATAGCAACAATTTCAATAATAAATTTCATCGATATTCATTGCTTCGGCCCCTTGTGCGTTATTTGGCCCACAATAGCATTTTTTTGTTTTTCATAACCCTCACTTCATTCCAAACTTGCCCCATTTCAGATCCTTAGCATCGACTTTTATGCGTTTCTTGTTTGAATTTCCGTTTCTAATTCTTATTTTGTTCAAATTGAAATTGCGTATTTTTTTTTAGGGTTTTCCAATTGTCCCGCCCCTTTTGAGAGATGGTCGAACCTTTGGTTTCTGGCCATGGCCACCAAACAAAACTATTAGAGAGTCCGCATAGAGAAAAAAACTGCGAGTTTTGCGTTTTCCCGAAACTCATAGTATATCATTGCATAGAATGTGATGCAGATTTGTGTGGAGATTGCTTCAAGATCCCTAGAGAAATTTCCCACAATCACCACCAGGGTCACGTTCTACGACTAACGGTAACTCCAAGCTTTTCAAAAGAGGGTGAGAATGGTCGACCAAACTATTACAATTATCATTTTCTCATATGCAAAGGGTGTCATTATATTTCATTTTCCCGTGGGCGTTACATATGTGACGAATGTGAGTTTCGCATGTGTGTTGAGTGTGGCACATCAACAACGAGTAAGATTCCGCTCGGATGGAAAGATAACGAGGAATCGCCCCATTGGAGTGACGTCCATCGACTTGTGAGATGTAGGTTTAGAGAGTACGGTCTTGCGGTAGATATTATTGTTTACAATTGCAAGATATGCGAGCTCCGAATGTGGGGTACTGGTTACGCTTGTCTTCGATTTATGTGCTACAGCTTCATACATGATTCATGCATCGACGCAACTCAAATCATGCATCATCCATTGCACCCTCATCACCCTCTTAGTGGTCTCCCTCGTTCTGAGTCTCAGCCATGCAAGGCTTGCACGCCGGATTTCACGAATGAGAATCGAATTACTTATAATTGCAACGAATGCGAGTTTGCATTGCATTTTCAATGTGCCATTTCAACGCTCCGGCCAATAAAGATTGGATCCCATGATCATAGTCTTGTAAGCGTTCGCATAGCCCGAAATGATCCTCGATGTTACATCTGCCGAAGGCAAATCCGGAATCACGGTCTCCGTTGCGTGGAATGCCGGAGCTATTTTCACGTGGAGTGTGTTTCTGTTCCGAGAGAGTGGAAACACGAGCATCATGAGCACAAACTTAATCTTATGGATGGAATGACATCAGATGCACCTCGTTATGATAAAAAATATATACAGAGCGAGTATCCATGTGACATATGTGAAGGGATGATCAAGGAAGCGACCAAGGTTCATGTTTACGGATGTGAACTCTGCAAGTTCTATGCCCATTTTGAATGCGTTCTATCTAAGGTTAGTCTCTATATTCATATTCTTTTTAATTATTGTTATGTTTTCGGGATCAAATATGAGCGAATTGAGAAATAGATGGAAACAATAGAAGTGCTTCTATGAGCAAAAAGATAATTTAGAAGTTTACCTCTACATGCTTAGATTTTATTATTTACATTAAAAGGATTATAATTATTTGAATGAAATGAATGGTGTTGTATTGAATGAGAATATAGATTTGAGCGTTATCTTTTGTAAAAACGCAAAAAAGGAAGTTTGGGTTTCTATTATATAGGAAGAAATGGAGCGATTTTCATCATCCTTGTTGCCAGAGAATCAGAAGCAAACCGAGGAAACAAATGACTCGGGCATTAAAAAGGTACGAAGAACTTCCATGTTACAAAAATATTATATTATATTATGTATGTATATGCGAGTATTAATTAGAGTACGTATGGATATGATGGAGTGATCTTGCAGACAGAGGAGGAGACGATTCATGAACATCCATTGAGATTGCGAAGCAATGGGGGTAATGAAATTTGTGGAATGTGTGAACTCCAAATAAATGGCCAAGCCTACGCATGCGATGACTGCCACCATTTCTGGGTTCACGAGAGATGTGCGGAGTTACCTCGAACCCTTCATCCCCTTCACAAGCTCCATCTCGTTAAAGAAGCAGCCTTCAATCTTTTCATATGCGACATCTGCGGAGATGCTTCAAAAGGATTTAATTTTTATTGCCGATCATGCGATTTCGTCATAGACGTCAAATGCGCATTCATGAGTAAAGCCGGACAGAGTTTCTACGACAGACACGGTGGAGAGACTCTCAAACACCCTCTCCACCGACAACATAAGCTGACCCTTGCCAATTTTAGGGCAGATTCACTAGCGAGAGAATGGTGTGAGGTGTGCGGAGAACTACTCCTAGGTCCATCATATTGTTGCAGAGTATGTGGTTTTCGTGGTTATTTCCACAAAGCGTGCATGCAATGGCCGAGCTCGGTTGAGGGACATCCTACTGCTCCTCACCATCTTCTCCAGCTTGGTGAAATGGATTTCTGGGGCATATGGAACGATGGCGGACGCGTACCACCGTGTTTTGCATGTGGAGATACAATAATATCGAGGTTCGGCTATAAAGTCGTGGATTTGGAAAGAGGCATATTTTGGTACCACATTGAATGCGGAAGTTCTTTGGCTCATCCCTTGAGACGTGGAGGCCTTCACCATCTGTTCTATTACCTCCACAACAAACCTTCTAAAGGTGCATTTGCCGTTGCAGAAGACACGATTCATAGATGCGCCTCTTGCCGAGAAGAGGCGATGAATTCTTACTACCGATGCCGCGAGTGTGGTCTCTATTACCATTTTGGATGTCTTCGGGGAGCAAAATGGCTGCCAAGCACGGCCAGACATGAACAACATATGCATCGGCTCTCTCTCAAGGAAGAATGTACCGACTATGGAGGATACTACTGTGATATCTGCGAAGAACCCAGAGACTCTCGGCATCCTTGTTATGCATGCGACGACTGCGAATTCGTCGTGCATATCGAATGCATTGTTTCTGAAGTAAGATACGCTATACTTGTTTATATATGTTACATATATGTGTGTATATATGGTTTTGAATGTGTTATTATGGTTGTATTGTCAGGAAAATGCTTCTAGCGTGACACTGGAAGAGATTGAAGGGGATGATGTTGTGAGGATTCAAGAATGCGGGACAAATTCTTGAGGCATTATTTATATTATTTATATTTACTGTCTCAAAACAATCCATTTGTGTATATTCATCTAATACCATATCTGTATTGAACATTTACATATTGATCCAAATAAATTTGTGTATGCTCTGCTTCATGTTTAAGCTTTCATTTTCTTTAATATATGGGGTGAAATAATATTAAACCCATCAAAAAATATCCATCTCAGAAGACCCTCCACGAAATTTTAAAAAAAAAAAAAATCTAAAAGCTGAGAACAAACTCCTCAAGTAATACACAGCTCGTAAAACATCACTCCAAGGTCAAATCTCGTCCATGAACTCTAAAAGATCTTCAACCTCTTGCCTCAAAGCTGTGATCTTTTGCTGCAGAGAAGATATCCGATTCTCGATATCACGCCCCCCGGATTTCTTCTCGTACCCGTCGACTACAGCCGTGTGTTTCGCCATCACCCTCTCTTGCAATTCCTTTTCCTTCGTAACAAGCTCCTCCACCTGCAATGATCGTAACAAACCGCAAAAGTTGCGTACTCTTTTCCGAAACTAAAGATGCGTAAGAAGGGGAAAGCTGATGGAAAGAGAGAAACTTTGAACCTTTGGAGTTATTTTAGAGGCTAATGGGGAAGACTGAAGGAAAGCCAGCAACGGTTTCAGCTCTTTCGAAAGATCTTTCAGCAAAATATCAGCGGATTTTCGAGATGATTTGCAGGCTTGAATGTCACCGGTCCTAGAGAGATCCCGGAGTGAAGCTTCGAGCTTGTCGTGTGTAGCTAAGCATTTGTTGATGATGCTTTGTACCTCCTGAAGTGTGGCTTGGACCTTTGTACCGAACAACTAAACATTTAGAGAAACATCGGTGAAAGAAGATCGAGTTAGTGATGGGTTGGAACAAGTGTTTTACCTCGTCCCATTGCAGCTTTGCCAGATACGCAGGGGAAGACTTGGAGATTGAGAAGTCGGCCCGTGTGTATATGATGCATGTGATGAAGAAAACGAAAAACCCGGAGATCAACATCAATGGCTCCCTAAGCATATCAAGACTGTTGAACCGATAATAGACCTGTACAATTATCAATCACAATAGAATGAATGCGTTGGGCAATGGAAGTAGAAAAACCGATACTTTCGAAATATCAGAATTTAGGATGTAGTACGGGAGAAAGCCTGAGACGATATATATATACCTGGACATGCTGATTGTGATCTGGGACAACATTGTCCTTTTCGAGCACAACAACTGGTCTACCAACAGTATCTAAGTGGGAATATTTAGTCTACACACAACAATAGCAAAACCATAAAAGAAAGAAACTATCAAAACATGGAAAATCCAAATTCCCAAATAAAATGTAGAGACGTAACAATAATCAGAGACGGCAGAGATATAGATTGAACCAATAAGGCAATTCCCCCTAAAAAAATTCAGTTACCTCTTCAGACTGTTTGACAGGAAATGGAGTAGAAACAGATATATCCTTCGATCCCTCAGGCAAGACCACCTGCGATATGAGAGAGGGAACTTATAAAAGGGAACAATGCAAAGGATCAAGCAATGTTTACTTCCAATCCAGACAAATAAAAGGCCAACTGTTTGGTTTAATAATAGGGAAAAGAAAAAAGGAATACATCAGGTTTAATTGTACCAACCTTCACGGCGAGTTTGTCAATGACAATCTCAATCATAGGGGAACCAAAAGAGATGTCCAGATAACGCTTGCCCTTAGATGCAAACAAGAAGTCATTAAGCGGCAGACCATATCCTATGGTGAAAGTCGTTCTCCAACCGCCAAACAACGGAAATCTGGGCTCAATCAACAGATCTGTCTGCAGCCAAACAAGCCAATTGTCTGAACACATACCGCATTAATATTGTTAAGGAGAAGCCAAGAGTGGTTACAATTTCCACCTTTTTCGTATCACTCCACAGCATAGATGTAGAGATATTGCCAATCTCATCTCTGTAATATATGGAATGGGCTCTTGGAGGTAATCTAGCAACAAATTGCCTAAAGGCAGATGCTCCTCGGAGATTTGGTCTGGCTTGGAAATCTAACCTGCAATACAAAGAGTGGGAACAGAGTTTTGAATTGGAATAATGAACTAAACACAAATTGCTGCATCAGAGTAACAGTGTGTAACCTTGAGAACTCGCCCTTCAATTGAGCCCCTCTGTGGACAACATCGTAATGCTCTGTGACCTGCACATTCCCCCAGTGGGACACCTCTATTTCTCTCACAAGCTTCTCAGCAACAGCAAAGGGTGCTTTGCTTTCAAAATGAACGACGATGGGGGAGTACGAGAACGGCGGGAGATTCTCGTATGGGCCATATTTGATTTCTGAACCATGTTGCTTTGTATTCTCCAGCTTCGTGTAAGACTCGATTCTGGCGTCGGGCAGTTTGACAGAGAGAGACTGGTACTTAACAGCATAGAGAGAGAGATAATAGGCACTTTCTTGGAACATAACGAGCTGGATATCCGCCTGAGTGATCTTCTCCGGGAATGGCTGCAGTGCATTAGTAAAAACAGCAACTACCTCCAGAGTCAAACTATCGCCTTTACCGAGTGCTTTGGGTAATGCCACCGAATAAGTACTTAATGATCCAGGCATTCCTTTCGCATTGGCTGCTTGCACGGGAAGATCGACCAAAGAGTCTTTAGCTTTCCCCTTTCCTTCATTATGGGCAACTGACAGATACGCCAAATTTTTGCCGAGAAACTCTGGAAAAGCCAACAGAAACTCTGAAACTGAATTGGTGCCAGAATTTTCGACCTAAAATACCAAAGTTAAAGCAGCATTTAGAAAAACCAACACATCATATAACTACAGAAGTTCTAGGGGACCTGACTAACTCAATCTGGTGAAATTTCTGAAATTTTACCTTAAGGGTCTTAGTGATGCGAACAATCTGTGATGTCAGATCAATCTGCAAAAAGAGATTAAACAGATTAACACTTAAGAAATGTAACCAAAATGATCAATGACATACAAATCACAACTAAAACTACACTCTT